TCGCCTTCAAAGAGAAAATTACTGTATGCCAAAAAGGTTTAAAAATATAGATTCTGGTTAACTTAGGAGGAGTTTGAAGTTGATCTGGAATGAGTCAGACAGCAACTGGAATGTTTCATGATGTCACATCTCTTGAGCAGCAACAAAGGAAAGACTTTTTTTGCAGTGAAATTTTGAATGGTTTCAACAAATGAGGCCAGAAAGCAGTAATACAAAACTACATTGTAATAGGAAATGAAAAGGCCTTAACATTGTAGTACTGCTTTTAATCACAGAGAGGGAAAGTTGTTCTGGTTTAGCTAGTAGTGAAATATAAAAAAAAAATATGTGATTTTTGCTTCTTGGGCTCTAAAGCATAAGCCATGGCCATGACTACAGGGCATCTTTAGGAAAACAACAGTATCTTGGAATATTAAAACATCTTCATAATTATGGACTTAACACCCCCCAAAATTGCTAATGAGGGATTTAGTATAATGCTTGTTCTATACCTTCTTCTGTTTTTATGTTACAAAAATTAGCTCCTGATCACAGCAACAACCCAGAATGCAACCTTCTGAATGTTATAAAATCCAGAACTTGTAGATTTCCACTGAAGATGAACTGTAATGGTCCTACTTCAAGTCTGGTGTTTTGTTTTGAGAAGTATTTTTATTTCATTAGTCAAATCTCACAAAAGATGAATATTAAATATATATCTTCTGAAAGTCCTTTGGGATACACCTGCAAGACTACCTAAATAATTTTTAGGGGTGCACCAATAAAGATTTAATTGGCTGATACGGATGGCCGATTATTAACCAGCCACATCAGCCATTACCAATCTGATATGCAGCCCAGCAGCTTGGAGAGCAGTGTCTGGCTGGTAAGTCTGTGGGGGCTGGAAGGAGCAGATTGAGGCCCCCATGGTGAGGGAGGGAGTGGCGCTGGGGCAGGGGTAGGCACTGCTTAGCTGGGGTGGGTTGGGGCATGGGGCACAGCCGTGGGCAGTTTGTCCAGGGGGGTGGATGTTCCCAGCCGCTGTGTGCACCCCTGGGGGAGGCATGGGGGCCATAAGCCCCCACCAGATTTGTGTGCAGGGCAAGGGCAGGCCTCCCTCACTACAGTGGCCTCAATCACCCCCCTACACCCCTTCCCTCCCCCATGCCTCTTCCCCCTGCAGACTTATTGGCTGGATGCTGCTTTCCAAGCTACTAGGCTACATTCCTGGCCCCATGCACAGCGGCTGCACATATGCACACAGCATTTATCAGTGACATTATTGGCTATACAGGCCATGGTGCATGTGGCCAGTCCCACTGCCCCCGGGCATGTGATGGGGCAAGGGCCATGCAGTGGCCAGACTTGGCTTCCCAGTAAGCCTCCGTGGCCTAGCCAGCTGCTGTTGCCAGTGTCTCTACTGCCAGACCCGACCGCCAGGGGCAAAGGATGGAGCAGGTGGGTGGTAGCTCTATGGAAACCAGCCAGAGATTTCCTCAGGTAGGACATGCTCAGCTAGGCAGACGGGATGGTGACAGGGTGGGGAGTGGCATCTGGAAACAGGATGGACAGGAGTGGGGCCAGGATTGCAGGTTGGTGACAGTGCAGAAGTGCATTCTCCAGCTACTGACTCTGCTTATACAAATCACTTATCAAAACAAGCTGATTCATAGTCATAGATGAGCTTAATCCCGGACATTCTCTGAACGGCTGACCCAATACAAACTGAATATAGAAAAAATAAGGGGTGGTTTTAGCTGAATTAAAGAAGTGTTTGAGCCCCCAAAAGACAGAAAGTGATTTCATTAAAATACATAAAGAGTGTCATATACAAAAATAACTGTATAAACTGCAGATAGTCCAAAGTCTTCAAATATTTATTTGCCCCTCCCTGCCCTGCAAAATAAGATTCTAGATATGCTGAAACAGTCCTGCAGTTACATTATGCACCTAAATAGAAATTTCAAAGGGACAAAAGGAGCAAAATCATGCAGCATGTCTTTTTAGATTGAATACATGCATGTGTGTCTAAGAGCCTTGTTACATGGTACTTTGGGTAGCTCCTGGAGCTCTTAATCCCTGGATTGTCTGTGCATTGACACCTGAAACTAGTTTTAAGCACTTGTTATGTGACTCAAACTTAAACCACTCCAGGGCAGACTTCTCTCTGAGCCTGTTATACCAAGGTGTGGCTGCTTTAGGCTACACCTTAGTGTAAACACCTCACCCACCTTCCACCCCCACTAGCCTGGATTGATCCCACTGCCTCCCCCCTCCCCAGCACCTCAGATCCCCACTCATTGCTGCCCCCACTTTACCCCCTGCTTACTTGTGGTTGCCTGCACTGTCTGTCCCTGGGGGAGCAGTCTTGGAAGGGTTAAACTGCCTGCCCAGCTGCCATCCCTGCTGCTCTCTGGGCCAGAAGAGCAGTAGCCTGGCAACAGTGGTGGCTGGGTAGGCAGGTTAGTCCTTCCCTGCCTGATCCCCTGAGACAGTGCAGGGAGCCACAAGTAGGTAATGTCCCAGGGGCAGAGGGGATGCAGGTAGGAACCCTAAGGGGCAAGAGGGAAGCCTTGGGGGCAAGGAGGAGAAACAGGGAAGCCTGGAATGGAAGATGGGGCATTCTTACTTTTCAGTCCTCCAAGACCCTGTTGGCTTCAAGTGTGACTGCTCCAAATTTCAGCTATCACTAACACTGATCAACATTTGTGTGGCTCATAGCATAAGGTATAACAAGGCCCTGAGAGGATTTTGATTTCATAAGGAGATTTGACTGATGCAGTGAATCTTGACCATGTGTAATTATAAATCAAAGTCTCTTTATAGACACTGGATTACAAGTGACAAGTTTCTGCCATGTGCAGCTACCAATTCTCTGCTATTGTCCTATAAAAATGGAAATTATATAAATATGTTCAGGATAAAAGGCTGACTGGAGGATTGGATATTCTTATTAGAGAATTTACAGTTCATTTGGAATCCAGCAAGACAAAGTTACTGCAGATACTGTTGTCAAAATGAACAGCTGTAACTATCCACTGCAGATTTGGTGTGTGCACAAAAAAGCTCAGAGTGGTTCTCTAATGTACACACGAGTTCCTTACACATGGCTTGATAACCTGCCCCTAGCATTTGCAAGCAAAGATGTATGCCAGTATGAAGTGAAGCTTTCAGTTATAAAAGCATCAATAATGTCAACAAAAAGAAATCTAGGTACTTTATAAATATCCCATATGGTTCCTATTGACCCTAAAGGAAAGAAAAGTTTTCAAATTTCAGTACCAAAGTTCCCTTTGTCGCTTCCTCTCCCTATTTTTAAATGAATGGAAATGAGATTTCATCATGTTCCCCAGGTAGACCTCTCTCTCTCTCACATACACGCGCGCGTGCGCGCACACACACACACACACACACACACTCTCTCTCTCTCTCTCTCTCTCTACTTGCCCAGTTTATATTCAACACACACACACACACACACACACACACTCTTTACTTGCCAGGTTTATATTCAGAACTGCCAAATATTTCACTTAATTGAGAGCTTATTTTCCCAGGGGTAGGCCTATACTGTAACAAACCAAAGTATAATAATTGTTCCTTGGATTTTGGGCATTATTTTAGGAACATTAACTAATTGTATAACCTGGCTTTCATTCAATATACAGTTGCTAGACATGATAAATGCAAAAATACACAAGGTGAGAAAGAATCTATGAACTTTATTTCTGTCAATGGAGATAGTTTTCTTTGCTCATGTATTTTGTCTATACTATTTAATGTGCCAATTAATTGAATTTCAAAGATAGATTATTTTCTACTCTAATACAGTGTTAATACATTAACATTCTCATTATAAGCCACACACACACAGAACTGAGGAGATAAAGCTGAAAACCACCCTTAATCAGCTTGCTTTGCCAAGATATTACAACTCATCCACAAGATAAATATTTTCTTGATGTCCTTGGGTTCCCCAGGAAAAGAACAGTCCAAGACACTAACAGACAGATAGAACTGTTTCTGGTTATCATGTGGGAATGTGAGAAGAAAAAATACAGAGGGTTAAATCAACATTTGTGGGTAGTTAAAAAAAATCACTAGCTTGATATGTAATTCCCCATGATTACATGGAATCTATGTTTTCACTCAAACTGTATGACAAAGCCACATGGACTTCACAGTTTTGCTTTACAGGGTCCTGCAGGAGTTATAGGTCTGCTATATACTTAAGGTGATAACCTTTTTTATTAAGTATGGTGTTTTAAAATGGAAATGTTGGCACAAAATTCACTAGGGTGGTGTAAATGCTGGCACAGTAATTAAAGATTAGACTCAAAG